CGCCAGAGCCCTCATCACCATCATATGGCATCAGGGTGACCTTCCCTGCCCAGCCCTCAACCCAGAAAGAACGACGGTTACACAACCCAGGCACAGGCACTGACGTTGTCCCTGTGACTGCAGCCTGTGTTTGGGGAGTCGAGTGTGTCCGGTGGAGACGTGGGGGGCAGGGAAGAGCACCCAGGCTGTGTTTCTGGAGGTGACACAGCAGCCCCGAGATGACATGTGCGCTGGATGTTCTGGGGGCGTGCAGGGCAGCAGGCAAGTGAGTCCGAGGCAGGAGCAGAGCCTCGGAGGTGAGCCTAGGGGCCAGGGGAGAGGGCAGCCCGGCATGCCTGCCGGGGGCCTGCACCGGCCAGGGCAGAGAATATGCTTGCAAAACTCAGCTGCAGTTTTCCCAATTTGATGGAAATTCTAAGACCACAGATCCAAGAAGTTCAGTGAGGCCGCAAGAACCCAAAACACAAAGCACCTCATAATCAAAACCAGTGATGAAGAGAAGCGCCTTTAAATATGCTTGAGAGGAGGGCTTTCCTTTCAAAGGACAAAAGGGAGACTGCGACAGACCCCTCCCCTTGGACACAGTGCAGGTGGGGCGGCAGGGAGCCCTGTCCACCTGGGATACTGCGCCAGATGAGACAGGCTTCCAGCAATGGTGGCGTAAAGCTGCCCAGACGCTCCAGAGCTGAGAACACATCCCCAGCAGACCTGCCCGACCAGATACACGGGGAGATTCGTACGGCAGAAGGAAAACGATAGCGTGGCCACATGGGTGAGCATGAGAGACACTTTTATTATTATCCAAATCCCTTTAAAAGGGAGTTGACTGCTTGCACTTAGAAACAAAGTACTGTGGGATCTATAACATAGACGTGTGGCAGTGACAGTGCAGAGGCCGAAACAGCAGGCACTGTGCCGCTGGGTCGTCCTGCGCCTGTCTGGAGGCGAGGCCGCAACCCATGGACTGAGTCAGGTCCGGCGTCTGCGCACAAGCCCTGAAGCTGCCCAATGGATGAAAAGACCCAGAGTGGTGACTGGTAAGAGAACAAAGGAGATGAGGTGGAATCATACCGCGTGTGCCATTAATCCGAAACGTGGCAGAGGAAAAGTGGCACAGGGAACAAAGGACAGATGATGGGGTGATAGAATAAAGTCCCCCACAGCAACAGTCACGCGAACGGTCTCAACACCCCCAGTTAAAAGGCACATCGTCAAAAAAGATAAAAAATAAGGACCGACTATATGCTGCCCACAAGAAACGCACTTTGAATATAAAGACACAAATGAAAAATAAGAGATGGAAGAAGAGACTCCATGCTAACACTAGTGATTAGTAAGGTCAGGTGTCTGTGTTAATAACAAAGTAAATTTTGGAGTCAAGAATATTACCATAGATAAAGGAGGATCTTTCGTCATGATCCAGGAGTCACCTAATCCACAGAACATAACAGTACTAAAGGTTACAATGCTAATGATGGAGCTTAAAATACACAAAGCAAAAAAACGCTAGAACTGCAGGAGAAATAGACGAATCCACGCTCACAGTCAGAGATGCCAAGATCCCTGCTCAGCAACGGACAGAAGAATGTCACAGCCATCCTTGCTCTGGTCGAGTCTGTGGAATGCTCTACCCAGGTCAAGATCTGTGTTCAGTGATGGACAGAAGAGCGTTGCAATCATTCTGGCTTTATGTGGAACAGCCCACCCAGGCACACAGACCAGAGATAGACCACATTCTGGTCCATAAGCAAGTTCGCGATAAACTTTAATATCTCAAGTATTACAAGATATGCTCTCCAACCATAACGGAATTAAATTCGAAATCAATAGAAGAACACTATCTAGAAAATCTCCAAATATTTGAAAATTCAGTAACACATTTCAAAATATCCCATGAATCGAAAAAAGAAATCATAAGAGAAATTTGAAAGTATGTTCCCATGAGTGGACAAAAAGCACAAATATAAAAATTTGGGGGATGCAGCTAAAGCCACACGTAGAGAGAAGCTTATAGAACTAATCATTTAGGCAAAAAGTAAGACTTTAAGTCCATGCCATTACCTTCTTTCTAAAGATACTAGAAAGGGCTTCCCAGGTGGCTCAGTGGTGAAGAATCTGCCTGCCAGTGCAAGAGTTGCAGGAGACATGGGTTCGATCCCTGAGCCAGGAAGATCCCCTGGAGTAGGAAATGGCAACCCACTCCAGTATTCTTGCCTGGAAAATCCCGTTGATGGAGGAGCCTGGTGGGCTACCATCCATATAGTTGCAGAGTCGGGCACAACTGAGCGCACACACAAGGACACTAGAAAAGAGGAGCAAATGGGACCCTGCTGCTGTGTGCCCAGTCTCAGGCCCAAGCAGAACTTGAAGACGAGAGCCGGGATGAGGGTGTCCGTCAGAAATCAGGTGCCCTGGGCGGGGGTGCAGGGTGAGACCTGGACTCAGGCATCGTGGATGGTGTCAGCACAAAGCAGCATTTAGACCACTGCTGGACAGGCTTCCGGGGGTGCGGTGAGAAGAGGGCCCTGCCAGGCCTGATGGGGGCCATATCTGCTTCTCCTCTTCCTCTCATCAAATGGAATAAAATACATTAAATCCCCAGCATGGGGAGGACGGAAGGAGGGGTCCTTGCCAGGATCTACTGGTTTCTGAGCGCCCAGCACAGGGAGGGCTCTCTGATGACCCAGGCATCCGGCTGGGCCCCTAGGGGTGTGGCTGCTGCTTCTTGCCAAGCACCCCTGGCAGTCACAGGGGCGGAAGCAAGGCTGGCACGTGGGGTGGCCTCAGGTGGGAGGCGTCCCAAGCCTGGCAGGGCAGCCTGAAGATAGAGTCCTGCCTTCCCTGTGGCACGGGGCTGGCTCTTCAGGGTCGAGGGTGCCCCCGGTGGCCTTATCGGCTCCCGGGGCTGCTCCTGTCTGCGGCAGTCCATGGAGGCGAGGCCTGGGACGCCCACTCCTGGCATGTGAGGCAGGCTGGCACTCACTGGCGCGTGTGATGGATGGCGGTTGACAGCCCGCAGCCTGGAGCACCCTTGGCACTCGCTGACCCACTTTCTCCTCCGTTGCTGGAACATTTACATAACAGATGGCCCCAGGGCCCTGCTGTCCGCCCCCAGAGGAGGTGATTCTAATTACACAGGAGGCGGAGGCACGTTGCTGGCCTGGCCGCCCTTGCTGGTTTGTGGGTGCCTGGCCGGCCTGTGCTTGTTTGTGGGTGCCTAGGTGCCCACCTGACTGCCCTCTGCTTGTTCATGGGTGCCTGGCCACCCTCTGCTGGTTCATGGGTGCCTGTGTGCACACCTCACGCTCGGGGAGACTGTGTGGGGTTGCTGCGGGGTGTCCGCCCGGTGGGGAGTAGGTCTATTTGGCACCACTGTGATCCTCTGAACAAGACCATCCCCTCCTTTCTGGGTCCTTCTTACCCCTGCCCTGCTGCCTGCCCTGTCCAGAGCTCTGCAGAGATGGAGTGCCCTCCCCACCCTCGGACACACCAGCACGCGAGGCTGGTTGCTCAGACATGGCCAGTGAGGTTTTTATTTCAGTGTCAGTAACCCTGAGTGGTCGGTGGCTTCCATACTGGTCAGTTAAGACAGAGCACATGAGTGTGTGAAGGTGATGTGTTTACACGCTGACGTGTTACATCACCATGCACCAGCTGTCTCAGGACCTCTGCTCCTATGGGCGGGCGGGCGGCATGTCCCCCAGCGAGGGGGGCTTGTCCTCTGTCACCTGGCAGCTCTGCCCACCTCTCCGGTGAGTGAGGCTCCTCCTGGTCCTCTCCTGAACTTTTTGTGGAACCCCTGGGGCCCAGCCCCGGGCCAGTCATCCGGCATGGTCCCCCCGCCTGGCCATCCCCCGCCTTCTGTCCACCAAGCAGTGCTCTGCGGTCAGAACCTTGTATCTGCTGCTTGGCCGAAGCCCTCCCTCTGCGCCAGCCGCCACCCGTGCACCCCACAGACACAGGCACAGAGACGCCTGATGGCGCTCCTGAAAGGCTGCAGCACCCGGCCCCTCCTGGCCTGTCCCCACTGGTAGCATCACCTCTCATCCCTTTGTTCCGCGAGTCCCCTCCCAACACTGACCGCCCGATTCTGCCCTTGCCTCCCTGACCTCCGTCCAGTCCTCATCACTGGTCTCCTGTGGCCGCTCCACATCCTGCGGGAGGTGGCCTGTCCTCGGACCTGGACTCTGTGCCCACCTTGCCTGGGGGGAGGTGCTCGGTTCTGTCCGCGGCAGTCAGGCCGGGTTCCATCAACCGAGTCCCCTGCACACCCCGTGCGCTGTCCCCGTCCTTCAGCTCCCCTGTCTGCGACCGCGCCTTATCTGCAGTCTTATACTGGAGCCTGAATGTTGCCTGGAGGGTGAGGTGCTGACCCAAGGCTCTGCAGGAAGTGTATAGTAAGCGGACCGTGATACCGGATGTAAGCCATTTTCTGAAAACTTGGTAAAGTGGGGGCACTCAGCCATTTCAGTTTGGTTAGTGGAGATGAATCCACTTTAGAAATGAGGACAACTAAGGAGTCTCGACTCTAGACCTACAGGGACATGGATCTATGGTCTCCAAGTTTCTTAAGGCTGAAGGGAGTGTTCTGGCCCTGGTGTATGGGGCAGTGGGTAGAGTCAAGGTGGCAGCAGAACAGATAGCCCCCACACATGAGGTCCCTAGGCTGATGGGGTCACCCCTTCCCCTCCAGCCACTCACGGTCCCTCGTCACAGAGGCGACACTGAGGCCCAGGGCCCTGCATTAGTCAGCAGGCAGGCCGGGTCAATCCCTGGCGGCCTTTCCCTGGGAACTGTCTCCCTGCCATGTGCCTGCAGTCCCTGCAGGGCCCACAGCGCCAGTCCCAGGGTGCCCTTCCCTCCCTCGTGTGTCTGGGTGCCCTGGATCCCTCTGTTCAGAGCCCTGCCTTTCACCCCCAGTGGTGCAGGAGGCCATAGCCCAGCCTCGACCTGACCCGGTGGCACAGACCCGACCCCTAACGTGAGCCCTCCCTCGCCAGGTGACACCATCTGGGCCCCATCTGTCCTTCCTCACGGCGCCCCCGGCACCTTGAGCCACCACCCCCAGCTGCATTTTGGAAGAAAGATGGAGTCCAAAGTCTCGGAAGGTGGCCTGAACGTGACGCTGACCATCCGCCTGCTGATGCACGGGAAGGTATGGGCCTGGGGAGGTGGAGGCTGCCCCCGCAGGGGCTCGGTTCCGAACCAGGCTTCTTACAATTCCAAGTGATCGCGAGCTTGCACAGCCGGTGCATCGCCGTCCCACTTCTGCTCCTCCTGGAGCCTCTCACGCCTGAGCCGCGCTGCTGCCCCAGCCCTGCCGCCTCGTGTGTGTTCTCTACGCCAGGGTGCTCTGCTCCAGGACAGGACACTGACTGACACCACCCCACTTGTGCCCGCCGCCTGTCACCCCAGGGCTTCCCTTCATTCAGCGCTCCCCACACGCCCTGTGGCTTTTGCCTTCGCGTTCCCATCCAGCTCTTTTGTAGAAACAATGTCCCTCACTCCCTCCTGTTGGCTGTTTCTGCTGTTTCCTCGCTGTTGGCAGAAGTGACCCAGAAGCATTCCTATCAGAGCCCAGATTTCAGGGCGTCACTTGATGGGCGTGCCTGCGGGCATCTCCCTGCCTCCTCCACGGTCATCGGGCATCCTTGCTGGCGGCCGGTTAGGTGCTGCATGACTGCCAGTGTGCCCCCTCATTTCACTCACAGCTCCTGGACGTGGGGTTCACTGTTTGCTCCTGTCACCCCCACACTGCCCCTGTCCTACCATCGCTGGCTCTATGCTCATGTTGCCCCTGACTTGGCCATGAGAGTCGCACCATTCTGACAGCACCCCCTCTGGCATAGAACACTGCTATCGCTCATCCTGCTTTTCTGCTGCTTCTGGAATTGGCCCAAAGACCCCGACTCCCCTGAGTGAGGCTGATGGGGTGGCCTTAGAAGCCCAGGTATGGGCGCATGGGGGTGTCCATGGCTCTCGGGCTTCTGTGGGTCCCAGGCAGAGCTGGAAAAGGTGTGTTTGTGTATATGTGTGTGTGTCTGTGCACATTTACACACTACTGCTTTCCATGTTTATCTCTGTCCTGGGCCCCTGAGCTGACACCCCCTACTCCAGTCCAGCAGTGCAGACTCATCCTGGCTCCGTGGTCCAACCATGTAGGCAGCAGGAGGAACCTGGGGCCCCAGAGGCTCTGGCCTCATGCCTGAGGCCCTGCTCTCCCTAGCTCTCTGGAAGCTGGAGCTCACAGCTGGCACCCCCCTTTCTGTGGTGAAGGAAGGGTGACCACCTGCCCACTCCCGGGGTGGGGTGACATTTGGTTAAGGTTGTCGGAGGCTGGGTGTGTACCACAGAGGGCAATCTGCGGTCAGTTATACACCCCACTTCCAGCAGCAGCTGACACAGCGAGCACCCAAACCTACCCTGGGAGGTGAGGTACCCTGACCACCAAGGGAGCCCCCACCCAGCGTCTGGCCGCCCCTGCTGCACATAGCCCGCACCGTGGCCCCACAGGACACTGTCATTGCTGAGTGCTTCACTGGAACAACCGAAGATGAGTTTAATTGTGGAGGCTGCTCTCTGCAGCTAAAAGCCAGTGGGCCCTGCGTCCCTGGGTGGGGCTGCCCAACGGGACCTGAGGCTTTGTCCTGGGTAAGGAGGTGCCATGATGGGCAATCCTGGTGGTGAGCATGTCTGAACCATCATGAGCCCCAGGCTTTAAAACCATGGCAGTGTGTTCAGACATCTTTCGATGTTCTGTGTGTGTGTGTGTGTGTGTGTGTGTGTGTGTGCACGCGCATGCGTGTGCTCAGTCGTTCAATTGTATTTGACTCTTTGCAACCCTATGGACCACGGAGAAGGCAATGGCAACCCACTCCTGTACTCTTGCCTGGAAAATCCCATGGATGGAGGAGCCTGGTAGGCTTCAGTCCATGGGGTCGCTAAGAGTTGGACACAACTGAGCGACTTCACTTTTCATTTTTCACTTTCATGCATTGGAGAAGGAAATGGCAACCCACTCCAGTGTTCTTGCCTGGAGAATCCCAGGGATGGGGGAACCTGGTGGGCTGCCGTCTATGGGGTCACGCAGGGTCAGACACGACTGAAGTGACTTAGCAGCAGCAGCAGCAGCAGCAACCCTACGGACCATAGCCCGCCAGGCTCCTCTGTCCATGGGATTCTCCAAGCAAGAATTCTCCAGGCAAATGGAGTGGCTAGCCATTTCCTTCTCCAGGGGACCTTCCCGATCCAGGGTTCAGACCCTCATCTCTTGCAGCTCTTGCATTGGCAGGTGGTTTTTGTTGTTTTTTTTTTTTAACCGCTGAGCCACCTGGGAAGGCCCTTGCAATGTTCTACCTTTTTAAAAAAGGTCAAATAGCAATAGCAGTAAATTTTTACATCACAAGGTCATCAAGGGAGATTTTACCTTCACCTGCTTCTTGCAGGCTCCCTTGAGGCCTAAATGCACAAGTGATGCCTGCCAATATGTTTGTCTAGAAGGCAGCTTGCCATTCTCTCTGTCTGTCTGTCAGAGGCAGGGCAGCCCTGCCACCTCCTGGCCGTCCAGCCTTCCCTGCGGTGTGTGTCCCGGCCAGTAGGCGGTCTCCCACGCCTGTCACAGGCGTCCTGCTCACTCTGCTCTGATATCACCTCTCTGTGCTTCCTTTCCTACAGGAAGTTGGCAGCATTATCGGAAAGGTAATTATTGAGTGAACTCTGCCTCTCTTGGGGTCTCAGGGGGAAGTGAGGCCCAGAGTGCCCATGCTGGGGGTGGGCGTGCACCTGTGTGCCATGCATGCAGAGTGGGTCCCTCTGGAATCCTGCCCCCTGCCTTCAGGCTGCACCCCCGAGGCTGTCCCAGCACCTCCTGTTCTCTGGTCCTGCAGGTGCCAGGAGCCCTCCACTGAGGCCACCCCATCTCCCAGGGCTCTGGCCGCCAGTCCTTCTACCCAAGTTTCACCCATACGAGTCCCCATGTCATTCCTGGGAGCAGTGTCCCGTCTCCAGCCTGGGTGTACTGAGTCCGTTCGCACAGAAATGCTCCCAGGGAGAGCAAGCACTGGTGTGGAAGCCCATGCTTGTAGGCAGGCAGTCCAGAACCCCCTGCCCGAGTCCTGTGGCCGTCTAAGGCTCCCTGTCCCACATGGTCCCTGAATGGTGGGGGCGCCCCCAGAGCCCAACATCAGGCTCTTTTTCACAAGCCGCTCTTTTTTGAGGAGTTTCCCATGGGCCTAGTCCCCACTTTGCCTGTGGTAAGGATGGAGGAGGGTGCAGACCTGCTGGATGGAGCAGGTGCCCAGGTCAGGCGTGGAGCCGCGTCAGGTCCACAGGGCCAGGCCCACCCAGCCTGCGGCCTGGGCCCTGGACAAGGGTGCAGGGAGGGTTTGGGGGGGTCACCTGTGCCGGGCACAGAGTCCAGCTTCAAGTGCTAGGGTGTCTGGCCTCTCGGGCCTGTGGCAGAAGCCCAAGTGACCCCCTCCCTTGTCTGAACCTCTGTTCCAGAAAGGAGAGACCGTGAAGAAGATGCGTGAGGAGGTGAGTGGGCCCCCCTGAGCCCAGCGCCATTCCTGGGTGGGTGGGAGGGAGGAGATTGGGCCTCCTAGCAGTTCTGCACCCAGCCCCACAAGGTCTGGACCCGTCAGAAGCCCCATACACCAGGGACAAGAGTGAGGGGCGACCATGGGGAGCCCCCAGTGTGCACGCTGGTGGTTCAGGCATCCTTCTGGGTCGTGGCCAGGTCATGGCCTGCTCATCAGGATAGGACTGGTCATCAGTGCTGAGGTTCGAGCGCCGCCAGCCTGCGGGTATCTCTGGTGGTCAGTAGGCCCGAGGACCCAGCCCGCTGCCGGCCCAGTAGCTTGAATCCAGTTTCTGAGGTTTGCTCGCCATCCTCCCAGAGCGGGGCGAGAATCAACATCTCGGAGGGAAACTGCCCGGAGAGAATCGTGACCATCACGGGCCCCACGGACGCCATCTTCAAGGCCTTTGCCATGATCGCCTACAAGTTTGAAGAGGTAAGGGGTGCCTGGGGACCCTTGCTCTGGGCGAGGGGACCTCTCATTTCTTCTGCCTCCCCCGGGACCTCCCCACCAGTCCACCTGCTAACAGGCCAGCACCCCTCCTCCGTGAGTCTCACCTCCCTCACCGAGGGTTTCCTCGGGCCTGGCCCCCAGAGCACAAGCCCTCAGGGAAGGCCTGGCGCCTGGCAGTGAGGCAGCTGCATGGGGCCTCAGCCCTGTCCACAGCGGCTGACCCCTGGGGTGGGCAACCTGGCTCAGATGTGGGCAAAAGGAGCCCAGACGTGGGAACCAACACACCTTTATGTGTCTGTGCACTTCTGTGTCCGTCTGCCAGTGAGTTAAACCTTAAGATGTTTATGTGTTTCTGATGTTTTTGACATCGCTTAGAGTTATTTGATGTCTCTACTGAGAGGATGACCAAGCTGGGGAGTCAATATTTCTGTCAAATGTATCACCCTCTGTCCAGGCCCCTTCTGCCCCACCAGGCCTGAAGGTCAGAGGTCAGAGCCTGAGTCTGGGCACCCTGAGGCCCATGCCCACCCCACAGCAGCACAGTGGCGCTGGGACAGGCCCCCCTCTCCTCGTCACCCAACCTGGGCCCAGCCTCGCAGACCCCGCAACCAGCCCGGCCCGCCCCCTCCCCCAGCCCACGGTGAGCCTCACAGTGATGTGCGTGCCTCTTCCTCCCCAGGACATCATCAATTCCATGAGCAACAGTCCGGCCACCAGCAAGCCTCCGGTGACGCTGAGGCTGGTGGTCCCTGCTAGCCAGTGCGGGTCCCTGATTGGCAAAGGCGGCTCCAAGATCAAAGAGATCAGGGAGGTAACAGCCCTCCTCCCCCACCCCAGGGCCGTGAGCCGGGCGGGTCAGGACACCCCTGGGCGGAGCACCGGCCCCCTCCCTGCCGACCCTGCAGCACGGAGCTGGGAACGGGGGAGGAGCAAGCACAAGGCAGAGTGGCCAGGGGAGACCCAGTGTGGGCGTCACGCACAGGTGCCAGCTGGCTCCTAGGACGGGGCCCCCGCGCATGGGCTCTGCGGCCCCAGTGAGGTGCCTGGGAGAATGCTGAGCCACACCCACTGGGGTGGAGGTCGCCTGAGGTGTGACCCCACACCCACATGTTCATCTCCCAAGGAAAGCCTTCCTCTCTCAAGGGAGGGCAGCCCCCGGCCTGACTCCCTCCAGGAAAGATGGCCATATAGTTCAGGCCCCAAGACTGGAGTCCATCCTTGTCTGGGACCTCAAACTCCACCGAGAGGGAGAATTCCACATATGTGGGGAAAAAACCTGTCTGCTGAGATGCCCCTCCCTCCACCCAGCATCACCCCTCCAACACAGGTCCATGCTGGTAGCAGTGGGCTGAGCCAGACTGGTGTGGCCGCCCACAGGTGCTCCAGGTGGAGCATGCAGCAGGCGTGGAGGGGTGACCTGAGGCGGCGCCTCGTGGGCATCCTGAGGGCAGTCAGGACGTGTTGCTCCAGTGCACGCCGCCCACCTTAGCAGGGCCCCATCCAACATCCAGTCTCTCCAGTCCACAGGTGCCCAGGTCCAGGTGGCCGGGGACATGCTGCCCAACTCCACGGAGCGGGCAGTGACCATCTCGGGGACCCCGGACGCCATCATCCAATGTGTCAAGCAGATCTGTGTGGTCATGCTGGAGGTACAGTCTGTCTGCAAGTCCGGGCTCCTCGCCCGCCTGCCCCTCTCTACACCCGGCCCTGCTTTCTGAGTGCTGGAGGTTCTCGGGTGCCCTGAGGATTCATTTGGCCAACGTTGCCTGGACTGGGCCTTAGGAATGGGCCCACGCCCCTGACCCAGGCTCAAGGCAACTTGAGTAAGCTGTGCAGAGTGTGTGGGCACTGTGGGAGGGCTGCCAGCTCCGCCACCTCAGGATGGGATCTCATCTTCGCTGGGGATTTGGGAAGAGAACAGAGAAGGTGGTGGGGGCACGGGCCCTGCCAAAATCTATGGAGTTGAATGAAGAGTCCACACAAAGGGGCAGGCCTTATGGTGCACCTGTGTCCTAAAGACAGGTCTGTGCTAAAGACAAGTGTGCACTGGAGACAGATGTGCACGGGAGGCAAGTGTGCACTGGAGGCAGGTGCGCCTTGGTGGCTGGTGTGTTGGAGACAGGTCTGCACTGAAGTAGGTGTGCACTGGAGTCAGATGTGCATGAGGGACAGGTGTTTACCTGTGGTAGGTGTGCACTGGATGCAGGTGTACACTCGAGGCAGGTGTGCACTGGAGTCAGGTGTGCACTAGAAACAGGTGTGCACTGGAGGCAGTTTTGCACTAAAACAGGTGCCCACTGGGGGCAGGTGTGCACGGAAGGCAGGTGTGTGTGGAATCAGGTGTGCATCGGTGGCAGGTTTGTACACGAGGCAGATGTGCACTGAACAGGCCTGCACTGGTGCAGATGTGAACTGGAGATGGGTGTACACTCTTGGCAGGTGTGAAATGACGTGTACCGGAGTCAGGAGTGCCCTGGAGGCAGGTGTACTTGGAGACAGGTGTGCTCTGCTGCAGATGTGCCATGGAGGCACGTCAAGGCTGGAGACACAGGTGGAGTGGAGAGGCCACACCGCTACCAGGACCCCCTGGCTGGACCATGTGCACTGCTGAGGTACAGCATGCTGTACTTATGAAAAGCACAGGAAAACGCCCAAACTGTGAAGACAGAAAGGAGTGAAGAAAAAGATTAGCCAAAGGAGAAGCAAGGAGGGTGCAGCTGAGTAGGAAGGAACCTCTCTTGAAATTTTGAGGAAAATCCCAAGATTTAAGTTTCAGTCCATACGCAAACTGCTACAAGATTAACTAAAGTTGTCAATAATAGTTGCTGGTCTTTTTTAAGCTAAACTGAAGTCATCATGCTTCTAACGGAAGGTTTCACTCACTGTGCTGGTTGCCTGGCCATCAGGCCCTCCTCCCCCACAATGAAGCCCATGGAGAGTCCACCCTGGCTGATGCAGTCCCGCTCAGATGGTAGCCCCAGGGGTAACAGGGACTCTCCCTCTTCTGTACTTGACCTGCTGCTAAAGCACCATGTCTGACTTCCTCGAAAAAAGTTGGTATTGGTTTTATTTTCCTGAAGTGTGATATCTGGAAGTCAAAAAGATTTTCCTGAACATTTTTTTCTGCAGCATCCCCCCACCACTCCTCCTCAGTCTTGGTGCTGGACCACAAGTGGCCAAGAGAGCAGGTGGCCAGCAGGGCCTGGCACCCCTAGTGTGGCAGACACCCCAGGAAGTGAGGAAGCCCATGCTGGCCTAGTGGGTGGCAGGTGTCACGTGGGGGTGCAGGGCAGAGATGTGAGCCACCCTAGATGATGAGGTCTGAGCAGGACATGTGATCTCCTCAAGACTCCTCACATGTGGCCTTGCCTATGCCGCGTTCATGGTCAGACCTGGCCCCACAGAAGAGCCTGGCTGTAGTTGCTTGTGCCCCCGGGGCCGTGAGAGGCAGACTGAAACACACAGGCGAGTGTGATGGGTCCTTGTGGAGGTAGGGGGCACAAGGCCTCCTGTCACTGGTGTCACAGGGCTCCCAGCAGCGGCTGCTTACTGGGGAGGGAGCACTCTCACACCCAGAGGCCCCTGGCCTGGTGTTAAGTGAAGAGTGTATGGAGCTTTGAGCTCTGCGGTGGACCTCCACCTAGGAAATTCCCACCGCAGAAGGGTGGGGCTGCTGGAGGTGCAGCAGGTTAGGTGGAGAACAGAAGTGTCAGGGCCCCCGGGGAGGTGTGCTCAGAAGGCCTCCCTCCACCAGAAGTCAGAGGGGATGGGAGCTAGACATCAGGGCTGGTGGAGTGTGGGTGCTGGTGGTGGGGTCAGAGGGCACCATGGAGCAAGGGTGATGGCTAAGGCTGAGCAGCACGGAGTCCAGCCCCACCTCTGGGATGGAGTGGGGGCAGCAGTGGACTGAGTCCTCCACTCGCGCCACAGTGGGAATGGCCATTCAGTGTAGTCACACTTCCTGCCTGATGACCACAAGGCACCCTGGGACTGCGGGGAACCCCCTGTGAGGTGCCTGGTCACAACCAAGGGCGAGCCAGAGACGGAGAGATAGGAGCTCTCCTTTACCCAAGCACAGGCCCTTGAAGCAGCCTCTCTGCGTCACACAAGGTCACACAGCACAGCCAAGGTCACACAGCCCAGCCAGAGTCACACAGCACACCCAAGGTCATACAATGTGTCTAAAGTCACACAACACAGCCAAGGTCACATGGACATCCAAGGTCACACAACGTATTCAAGATCACACAACACAGCCAAGGTCACACAGTGTATTCAGGATCACGTAGTACATCCAAGGTCAGACAGCATAGCCAGGGTCACAGAGCACAGTTAAGGTCACACAGCACATCCAAGGCCATACAGCGTGTCCAAGGTCACATAGCACAGCCAAGGTCACACCACTGTGTTCAAGGTCATACAGCACATTCAAGGTCACACTGTGTTCAAGGTTGCAATAGCAGGCCAAGGTTACACGATGTATTCAAGGTCACATGGTGTGGCCTGGGCTGCAGAGTTGAAGCCACCAGCCAGTCTGCGGTCCCCACATCCCTGCATGTGCCTCTGGTGGGGGTACTCTGAAGTCACACTGCCTGGCAGAGGCATGGGCTGGGCCTAGGAGGGCAGTGGCCTCAGGAGCTCCCTGCAGGGACAGGCTGCTCTGGTCCCCAAGCTCTGCCCCGGGCTGGTGGTGCAGCTGACTTGGGACTCCAACAGCCAGGCCCAGCCCCTGGACTCTGCTCCCAGGGAAGATAGTTGCCCAGGCAGTGGCAGGCAGCAGGCATGATTGCTTCTGACCCAGGGGTTAGGCTGACATCATCAGACGCTGGCATACCTCTGGTACCTGAGACTATCGTGTATCCCAAGACATGAATCCTAAACTTTTGGACACAGAATAGTGGAAGGAAATTGTAGCAGATCTCATCACAGCTATGGACTCTTTCATTTGGGCTCTGAGGTGTATTAAATGATGACTCTTCTGTCAGTAGTGAAGTTGGATGTTTCTAACTTTGCTGAGATGAGGCCATCTGAACATCAGCCCAGGCCAAGTGGAGCTCCACCCTGGACACACAGTCCCAGGGCTCTTCCCGAGGACTGAGGGCAGAGGCGTCCCCTCCGAGCTCAGCGCCAGGGGAGGGTGTCGTGCAGGCAGGGCCGCTCCTGCCCCCCCCCCGCCCGCTGCCTCCTGCTGGGGGCTGTGTCTAGGGTGGTGGCTCCTGGAGGACCCGGGGGCTGGGGGGCGGCTGGGCAGCACAGTGGGCGGGGCTCGGAAGGAGGCCTCACGACTGTTGGGCTTCGAGGCCACTCTAACACTCTGTCTCCCTCTCCTGTCCCTTTTCCTAGTCCCCACCGAAAGGTGCCACCATTCCCTACCGCCCAAAGCCCGCCTCCACCCCTGTCATTTTTGCAGGTGGTCAGGTAAGAGCCGACCCGCTCGCGGCCTCCACTGCCAACCTCAGCCTTTTACTGCAGCCCCCGCCGCTGCCCGTTAGTGCACTCAGGTTTTCTCCCCCTCACGTGCACGTCTCCCCCACCCGCGTGGGACGCAGAGCTCTCCCCGCCACAGCCCAGCCGGGGCCGAGCACGGGCCCCGCGTGAGGCTGCCAGGCCGCGTTCGCACACAGAAGGGGCCCAGGAGGACCCTGGTCTGGGCCCAGGCCTGTGCAGTTGGGCAGCACCACCCAGTCTAGTTCCCTGGTGCTTTTAGGAAGCTCAGAGGGAAGAAGGGTTGGGGGTATTGCCAGGGGTCTTAGGACTCAAGGTTGAGATGACTAAGACTGGAAAAACTGGCCCATTTCCCCTGAGACATGCATTCCTACACACATGTCCCTCCCAGTAGCATGTGAAGGACAAGAGAAGGATGAAGGAGGCCCGGCTGGGCCTCCCAGTTACTCGGATGGTCCGCGCCCTCCCCCTTCCCCACACTGGCTGCAGGCCCAGGAGGCTGGGCACAGCCGCACTGCACACCTGGGGTTTGGGCAAGAGCCCCTGACCCTTCTCTCCCATCAGGAGGGGGTCGTGGCGGTTTCTGTCTTCAGCCAGTGGTTGGCCTAGTCGGGCCGACAGGGGGGCCCTGTCGCGTCTCCTGCCTTTGGGCGCCGGCCTCCACGGCAGGGTCACCGCAGCCTCCGTCAAGGACTTTGCACACGCAGGCCAGTAGTGCCAGGGGGAGCTCTGCGTCCGGGCGGCGGTGCTGTGTGTTTGTTCGGGGAGAGTGAAGACGGAGGTCCTGGGTGCCCCAGGGCGGGGGAGGGGCTGAGAGGAAAAGAGGCAAATGCAGGTTGCCCGTGTCTTCCCGCGCTGCCCTGCTCTGCTCTGTAAGGGAGTCTCATCAGATGGCCCCTTCCCGTCCCCAGCCTCCCACCCTCCCCCCAGCCCTCCTCCGCCCGCATCCCTCACCTCTCCCCTCTCCCCCACCCCTGTGCGGCAACAGCTGGGTCCCTGCCGCCTTTGGGGTGCTTCCCCGGGGGAGGGAGGCAGCGGTTCCCACGGCCCGTGGCTCAGGGCAGCCACAGAGGGCCGGCCCTATTCAGAGCTCCTCTCCTCACCCACATCCAGGTCAGCGGGCAGGTTAGTTACCTGCCAGGCCTCGGCCCCAGCGTGCGTGCAGGCAAGCCTGTGACGATTCCCGGTGGTAAAGCACGGGCTTTACTCAGAAGGGAGGCTCGTGGACAAGAGCTGGAGCCCGGGCCGCCTCCTGGCCGTCGCCCACCCCCAGGCAGGGGAGCAAGGACACCGCCCCCCACGGGAGGGCAGCGCCTTAACCCGGCCCCTGCTGGGGACAGCGCGAATGGCCAGTGACTGGTCTTGGTTGTCAACACCGCAGGCAGCTGGGTGGAGGGGCCCGTGTACCAAGCCCTGGACCCCACACCTGAGTGTAGGATACGCTGCATGCCCAGCCTCTCAGCCAGACCTTTCCGGGGAAGTACTGGCCAGGCCCCTGCTGCAGAAAGGCAGCTCCTGCCTCCCCAGCAGGTTCAGACCTCAGAGTCTGCCCAGACACAACCTACTGCCTGGGCTCATCTCCACCTCTGTTCTGAGAGGATGATGGGTGGCTGTGCACTTTGAATAGCACTAGCAACCCTGACACGTGAGTGAGGAAAAGGTGTCAGAAACTGAGAGTGCCTGGGGTGGAGAACTGCAAGTCGGAGTGAGTGGGCAGCACCCTTCCAGGGCCTGTCTTACCCAGGGACACGGTGGCACAGTGCATAGTGGCATCTATACAACGCCTGCAGATGGGCCTCGAGGTCCCGCGGCCCCGGGTATGCACAGGCTCCCCCTGCTCGCCGTCTCTGGTCAGGCTGCTTTCCTTCACTGTGAGGAGCCAGGCCTCACCCAACAGGGCTCCGCACCCACCCCACTGGCGGGCGAGTGAGGCTCTGCAACACGCTCCCACATCCCAAGTCCCGGTGAAAGCCTTTGTCTTCACTCTCCCTCGACTCTGTGTGGTTTGTTTGTTGATTGGCCACGAGTTTCTGGAAGAATCTTCGCTGAGGGACTGTGGGGCAGAGGGCTGGGTATGGGAGAGGCTGCGGGTCCCACACTCTTGCTGTGGCTGCTCCGTGTCACCGTCACAAAGGCGAGTGACACGATGAAGCCCAGCGAGACTCCCCTAGGGGCCGTACCACCAAGTGTGTGCTGCGCCCGGTCCCCTGGGGCCGGCAGACGCTCGCCAACCTGCGGCTGATTTGGGCGCATTTCTTAAGCGGACATTTGCAAAGTGGGGTTTGAGTCACCTTTTAAAGATTTCTGTTTCATTGTTTGGTTTTCTTGGGATAAGTTATTTCCTGAAAGTGTGTGCTCTCATGGCCGATTAAACTCTCCAGTGTTAATAACCATCAGTCCCCAGCAGGGGTCGACTGAATGGCGCGTAACTATTCCTATTGAGAAACAACAAGGTTGGAGGTATTCCACCTGGTCCCTCCACCCTGCCCCCACCCCATCGCATGTCTGGTTGTAGGTCCTGCCACAGGGGACACGGGACCCCCGCCCCCAGTTTCCGGAGGGAGGGATCACCTCTCCTATGTGAAGGGGAAAGCCTTAACCAGAGTGCAGGGGCCCGCTGGCAGGGGCGCCCGCCCCAGGAGGCCCTCGTTCTGTGAGGGCATGCGGTGAGGGGATGTGTGGCCGCCGCTTCACGAGCTGACGGTGTCTCTCTCTCTCCAGGCCTACACGATCCAGGGACAGTACGCCATCCCCCACCCAGATGTGAGTTTTCACTCTGCCCCTTCACCTCCTCTCGCCACCACTTCCTCCTCCCTGCATGCTGCTGTCAGTCGCTACTAATATTAATATTACACAATAATATTAATACGTTCTCCGTGTTCCTGACCTCTGTTGTATCCATATGGCCCTGAGTAACCTTTAACCTCTTAGCACTAATTCTCCCACCTGGAGGACTTGGCCTGGTGTCAAATTGTCCTGAGTGTGGCTGCCGTCCGGCTGTTCCTCCACACCCGCCCTGGTGGGCGGGGACAGCTCAGGCCCTGTGTGCGCCTGTCCAGGCAGGTGACGTGCCATCAGCTGTGCTGGGACACCTTGGAAGGGTGTTGGAACCTTTGGTGAAGCCGTGCACTCCCTTTCAGCCCCAGTTGGACCAAAGTCCTTGCGCCCACGAGAGCCCGGCCATCAGAAGCCCATAGAGCAGACAAGGCTCTGTTCTCGTGTTATGATGACACGTTCCACACCCAGGGCTGCTCCGGACTGTGTTCCAGTCTGAGTGTGGCGCTGCTGCTGGGGGGGCTGGGCACCCTGAGAGCCACGCAGGGAGAACCTCGGGGCCACAGGGCTACAGATGCGCTGGGCAGTGCAGTCGGCCCCGCTGGTCCTGGATGACAGTGTGCTGCGGGGAGGAGGGGAGGGAACGGGCTCGTGTGCCGCTGCCTCAGCTGCAGCGAGCGAGATCCCACCTGAGATGTGTCCTCTGTGTTGGGAGGATGCGTCCACGTGCTGCTTTGTGAGAGCCAGGGGGTAGGGGTAGGGGTTTGTCCAGGCAAAGGGGCCTCGGGGGACCATGATGCCCGCCCATCTTCTGCAGACCCTCGCTTTTTTGAATTGGCAGCTTCAGAGCCAGTTGCCTAAGACACAGGGCAGGGCAGGGAGGATTTTAAGAATTAACTGATGCTAAGTGTGTGTGTGTGTGTGTGTGTGTGTGTGTGTTGAAAGCACATAGATTCAATTTACCATCATTGCAGGAAATTTCTATTGAGTAGAAAAGAAATAGTTTTATCCTTTAAAAATCCTCATGTCAAGTCAGATGGCAGAGAAGCTGATGGACGCAGGGCTGGGGGACCGCCCCCACACCACGTGGGGCTGCCTGCCCTCCTTGTCCCACTGACCATCGTTGGCTGTGACCCAGGGAAGTTGGGGTGCTAGAGCCTGGGGTGGGGGAGGGTGCGTCTCCATGCAGAGTGAGCGCTCGTAGTGCTGGGTGGGGGGGGGTCTGTGAACCCCGATAGAGCACCCTCAGGGGTGGCAGAGGTTAGAATGGAAGCCAGCTTCTGGGGTGGCACAGCCTTTGTTCCCCACGGCTGGCAGTCTCTTGCCTTCAGAAGAGCGTCTGTACAAAAACACATTCAGAGCCCAGCACACAGCAACCTGGGTCAGAGGGGCCAGTTTACCCCAGTGCAGCTTGGACCTGGACCCGAGGCTCAGACGTGCAGCGCTGAGCGGGGCCTGTGCTCCCGACTGAGGCCTCACATGCAGGCCGCCTATACCCAGGGGCACAGGCGCCTAGGAGTCCCAGGGACTTCGGTTGGTTTGGTGGGTTGGTTTTTGTATCAGTCGGTTGTTTTGCTCTTTCATGTGATGTTCTCAGTATCTCTTAAAAATGTGTCGTTTCAGGGTTTGTTTGGTTTTTTTTTTTTTAATTTTTAAACTAACCTATAGCTGCTGTTACATAGTTGCCTTGAGGGCTTCTGTGAGGGCCCCCTCGTCCTCCAGACCTGCTTGTGCCGTGGAGCATCTGTTGGGAAGAGAGCAGGACTCTGATAAAATGCTTCTCCTGCAGAGCAGAGAGTTGACAGCTTGAACCGTCACTGACAGAGTCTGTTCCAAACAAACAGTAACGAGTGATGATGGCCAGGAAGGCAGTTTCATCTGAGCTTAATACTCAGTAGGATTTTTTTTAAAGCTTTATTTCTTAGAGCGGACTTCCCTGTGTGGCTCAGACGGTAAAGCGTCTGCCTACAATTTGGGAGACCCGGGTTCAAACCCTGGGTCGGGAAGATCTCCTGGAGAAGGCACTGGCAACCCACTCCAGTATTCTTGCCTGGAAAATCCCATGGACGGAGGAGCCCGGTAGGCTACAGTCCATGGGGCCGCGAATAGTCAGACACGACTGAGCGACTTCACTTTCACTTTTCTTAGAGCGCAAATATGATAATTTTAGAAAGTACTAATTTATTTTAAAAGATAACTGAATACACCATTTAAACATTTCAGCCCCAGTGACTGACACAATCATCTTCCTGAATCAGGCATAGACCACCAGGAAATATGTTTCCTGCAGCGTTTCTTCATGTAGAATTAAAGCATGTGCAGTTTTTCCTGCTTTCTGGTTTACCGTACTTGAGAATCAGGGCCCCACCCTCACCAGTCTTCCTTCAGGTCCTCACCAGGCTCAGGCCTTGTTTCACCAGAATCTTCCTGGGACTCATAGCTCTCAGGCATTCAGAGAGGCCAGGGACGGCTGGGTGGCTGGCCTGGGTCATGGCCAGTGGCCTCGGTCACAGCCGGTGGCCATAGATTATGGCTGGCAGCGGAAATGCTCCAGGACAGCTGCCCACTCCCCAACGTGTCCTGCTCGAGGGGTCAGAAGTGGTTTCAGACACAAGGGAGGACGACGGCAGCCACGACTCAGGATGTAGGAGCAGATGCAGAGCATCATCACCGCTGTCTCCCACCTCCACTCTTCCTGTCCCCGTGCTGATTATACCATGAAGGAACTGTTTTCTTCCGGGAGAAGTGAGTCACCCTCAAGCGCCCCACACATGAGGATCTTATATCTAGTCTTCAGAGTTCTCAAGTCACTCCCTTGCTCAGCATCCCCTCCTTAGAGGGGCCTGGAAGCAAGCAGCATTGAGATCAGAAGTTGGGCTGGACCGACGGGAGCCTGGGTGGACACCGTCCCCCGGGGTTCACAGGGAGGACATGGAGCTTCATGGAGGGAGCTCCAGAGCTGGGGTCCCCATGATGCTGGGCCTCAGCAGACATACTGAGTACCTGGGGGTAGGTGGGTGCTGTGGGCCCCCACAGTGCTGGGCCTCAGCAGAGCTATTGAGTACCCGGGGGAAGGTGGGCGCTGCTTTGGCCAGGTCATTGCTTAGTGAGTAAACAGTGGGGAACTTGGAAACACGTGTGTTATAGTGAGTGGAGGAAACCAGTGGATCCTGTGCAGACGGTGGTCCCTGGGACCCCCCTCAGAGTGGACGCAGCTAGGACAGAGCACCTTCCCCGCCTGCCTCCTCGGTGTCCCCCCAGTCTCCCAGGGAGGGCCCTGCTGAGAGGGACCTGCATGGCTGCCCTGCTGATGCCCACACCCCTGGCTCTTTTTGGTGGTGGGGAGGCACCCTCAGCCTCACCTGCTGCAGAGCAGCTAAAAGGGCAGGTTAACTCCCCTCCCCACCCCTCCTCCAGGTCGCACACGCTCTCTGGCTGAGCTGAGCTTCTTTTCAGTGGCAGGGCTCTCAGCCCGCCCCTCCCAGAATCGGAACCTGGATTTTCACAAGACCCTGGATGACTTGTGTGCATGAAGAACTGAGAAGGAAGAACCCAGATCCAGTCAGAGCCCCAGGAAGAGAGGATAGGCGGGAGGGAGGGAAGACTCTAAGAGATGATTGCAGAGAATTTCTCAGAATCAGTAAACAAAACAGTGCTCACATTCAGCAATCCCAACAAATCTCAAGCAAGATCAATCCAAATGCTTCTTAGGTGTGTCCAAACAAAGCCACATGACACCAGAGACCAAAGCACATCTTCTGAAAATGGAGGGAGAAAGAATATCACAGAGGAGCAACGCAGGGGCCACAAGGTGGTGATGAAATAGTAGAAAACAACCATCAGAGGATCACCGAGGTGCAGGCGTTTTTCAGACAAACAGCTGTGGCCTTCTAAGGGGCGCCCTTCAGGAAAAGCAACATGACTGCAGAAAGAAGGCTATGAACACAAGAAAGAATGGTGAGCGAAGGAATCCACCATCTCTTTCCTTTTAAAAGAAGCACGAATCAGAAAGAAAACATTGATATTTTTGTCTACTAGAACGTAAACATCTGGGTCAATGAAAACACACTCTGTAAAATCAAAATCAATGCTAATTGCTGAGATTAACATACAGAACTAAATGGACCCCAAGAGCACAGCTAAGATTTAGGATGTGGCCAAGGGGATGAAAACATCCTAGGGCCACTGTAGGATTCAGGAGGAGGCAGAGACGCTGAATTAGGACTGCAGATGTACGTGCTACAGTTCCAGAGTGGTGTCTAACAGAAAAGTGTTCACTTTTGTAACTTCATTAAAGGTGTGGGGTTGGGGGGACATGGGTGACCGGAAAATATCATTAATCAACACAGCAGAAAGGGAAAGAGAAAAGAAACCCTGGACGATCAGGGCAATTAAAATAAGACAACAGAAATTACTATACATCTATGGTGACCACAGTAAGAGAAACTTTCCAGTTAAAAAACAAAGTCTGTCAGATTTTTAAAAAATAAATAAGTAAGCAAACAAAAAAGTTTTCAGTTTTATTTCAAAGGGCACATCTAAAGAAGGACCTAGACAAATTTAAAAAAAAAAAAGATAGGAAAAATATAGGAAAATACTAACCCAAAGAAGCAATATACTATTATTATTATTATCAGTGGGGAGAAAAACAAGACTTTAAGGCAAATCACTTACTCATTACTTATTGATAAATTGTTCAGTTCACTCAAAGAAAGCAATTTAAATTTGTATGCACCCAAAACACAGCTTCAAGCATATGTAAAGGAAAAGAATGAACAAACCATTAGGGGAATCTGACAGACATTGCAGCAAGGAGCCTGAACGTGAAGGCCAGGTAGACCAGAAGGAAGAGATTCTGCCGGTCCCACCTGAGCTGGGTCAACCAGCGTGCCCTGAGCACTCCCCAGCACAGCTGCCGGACCCATGAGAACGCTTACAAAGCTCCACGACACACAGAACACAGACTCCCCATCTCTCAAAAGCTGGAATCAGAGAGACAGCTCTCTCCCACAAAGCAGTAAGTTAAAATCAATAGTTAAAAGGTGATTAAAAAAAAAAATCTCGTCCTTATTGAAACTTAAAGCCGACCAGAAGAGCGCAGTGAAAGGAAAGACGGGACATCAGGGGTCCTCCCAGGTTGAGATGTGGCTACTGCAGAAGTGACACAAAGTCCGTCCTGCTGTTTTATGTGAAAGAGCAAAGGCCTGAGCCAGCAAGCTAGTCACACCGAGAACATCTGATGGGAAACAAAACAAACACTCTGCCTGTACTGAGAACTTCAACGAGAGAGAAAGCTGTAGCACTTTTAGAAAAAAAGATAGAATATCTTTCAGTTCACAGAAGCACGAACTATTAAGGAAAACAATGAGGAATCTGACCACATTAGAATTTTTAAATGTGGTTTCTCTTAAGGCTTCATAAGGAGATTGGGGGAAAGATCTTTCTAGTACATGGAGCTGAACTAGAATGAGAACCTGAAATACGTAAGTTTACATGAATCAGCAGAAAACAGCCCAGTAGAAAGATGGGCAAAGGACACCAGCGAGCCCTTCACAGGAGAGGGGACTCACAGCCGGAACCACGCAGCAGGTCCCCTGATGAGTGTGCAGCTGTGTGCTCATGAGTTCCCTCCTGAGCACTTGTCTGTATTTCATACCCCGACACGGTTCAGTGGGAAGGGCAGGTCATGGAGAAACGTCTGTGATGTGGCACCACCTCCCCTCCTTCCTCCCCTCAAATCCTGGCCACATTTGTGGTAGAAATACCTCAAAAAGTGGAAAGTCTCCTCAGCACCCAGTGCTGCTCCTTCCTTCACAAAAGGAAGAAATGGAGCCCAGGAGGCCCCGTTAAGGATGAAACCAAGACAGGAAGCTGTCAGCTGACATCCAGTGGTCCCCCATTCGGGGAGAGGGCTTCCCCGGGCACCCCCGTCTGTCCAGTCCTTCCCCAGGTGTCCCCTTACATCCATGGGTGCTGGAGGGGTTACGTGTGCTGTGGCCACTGTTTCATAAAAGGCAGCAGGTACATGCCGGAGGACAGGTCAGGGTCGGAGCAGCTGAACTTCTGAGGGTCAGACTTCCCAGGTGCGAGCAGAGCCCTCCTCCTGGGTCCTTCGGCTGTGCCCGTAACACACATGGTGGTGGGCTCATCCGTCTAACTGGGAGACAGAGGATCATCCCCGGGTATGGGGGCCACGGGCAGCCCAGTGGGGAGCCTTGTGAGTGTGCGATGTTTCTTCACCCAATTCACGCAGCAGCGCTTCTGCAGCCTGCCTGCCGCCCACGTGGGGCCCGTCTCCCAGCTATGCCTGTGTCCGCAGCGCTGGTCAGAACTCAGGTCGGTTCTCCTGCCGCCAGAGCCCCGATCTGCCCCGCCATCCTGTCCAATGCACAGCCGTGCACTCCTAGGGACTCGGGGACAGAGGGGGAGGGCCCTGCCCTCATGGTGACCGCACAAGCCCGGCCGCCAGATGCACAGACACCGGCTGAGATGGAGCCGTGGACCCGGAGCCAGGAACAGCCCAGCCGAGGCCCTGAGGCCCTGCACACAGCACAGGCCCACTCCTGGGGCTCCCCACTGGCCTCCGGACCCCAGGTAAAGGGGCTAGAGCCTCCAGGGGAAGGGCTGGTCCCTGCAGGGCCACTGTCCATGCCCCAGTGCGGTGTCTGCAAGAAACCCCAGTGAAGTGAGCACAGGTGGCCTGCCTGCACTACCGGGGCTGTGGATGGCCACCTGGATGTTTGTTGTCTCTAGACATGGGTTTCCTCCTCCATCCTGGGAGCTCTGTCCCCTCCTTAGGCCCGCTTCTAGCCCTCCGTGTAGGTGGACTCGGGGCACAGCACCTGCCCAGCGTCCTAGTGACCCAGGGTGACTTGCTGTGCTCTGGGGTAGGGGTGGTTTGCAGGACAGAGTCGGTGCTCCCACCACTCTCATCCTCATGCCCCCGGCGCCCGTGGGTCCTTGCCATCTTTCTCTCGACATGTCTCTGGAAGGAGGAGCTGAGCAGTGGGATCCCCAGCCCTTTAGCCTCTTGCACAGGGTTGTCTTGCCTGTGGCACAGCAGTTGCCGGTCACCGCTCACCTCTCATCCCCAGGGCGTGGGCTGGTGTCCCCATGACAGTGATTCCTGCTCTCCCGATGCCTCTCAGGCTGCTTCCGTGGACGTCTGCTCAGGTCACCCTGAGCCCCGTGGTGTTGGGTCACTGGGCTGACATGCCAAGCAGCAGTGTGCTGTAAGCCCCAGCCCCACCTCACTGGGGACTCTCAGAACAGACTCTGACCCCGGGTCACCCTGTCCCCTCCTCGGAACCACCAGATGTGACTGCTGAGTGGGATGTGGCCAGTTCTCCCCGTGCCCCATCTCATCAGGGACTCTCAGAGCGTGCCCGGCCCTCAGGGGGCCAGCAAACCCACTTCTCTGTCACCCAAGGGCTCACCCTTGAAGGCTGGGACATCAGAAATCCCAGTGTTTGTCCTTCTCTTTCCCCGACAGACTCTGCAGGATGGGACCAATGGGGTGACTAGTCAGATCCATGTCTCACCTGGGGATGCCCACAACTCTCCTTGGGTGCCCACACCTTCCAGCCACGGGGCTCGGTTGACACCTCAGGGCCCTGGAAACACTCAGGCTAGATCATGGCATCCAGTCCCATCACTTCAAGGCAAATAGATGGGGAAACAGTGGCTGACTTTATTTTTCTGGGCTACCAAATCACTGCAGATGGCGATTGCAGCCATGAAATGAAAAGACGCTTACTCCTTGGAAGAAAAGTTATGACCAACCTAGACAGCATATTAAAAAGCAGAGATATTACTACTGGAACAACCATAGCCTTGACTAGACGGACAACAAAAGTCCATCTAGTCAAGGCTATGGTTGTTCCAGTGGTCATGTATGGATGTGAGAGTTGGACTATAAAGAAAGCTGAGCACCGAAGAATTGATGCTTTTGAACTGTGGTGTTGGAGAACTCTTGAGAATCCCTTGGACTGCAAGGAGACCCAATCAGTCCATCCTAAAGGAGATCAGTCCTGGGTGTTCACTGGTAGGACTGATTGAAGCTGAAGTTGAAGCTGAACCTCCAATACTTTGGCTACCTGATGCGGAGAGCTGACTCATTGGAAAAGACCCTAATGCTGGGAAAGTTTGAGGGCAGGAGGAGAAGGGGATGACAGAGGATGAGATGGTTGGATGGCATCACCGACTCAATGGACATGGATTTGGGTAGACTCCAGAAGTTGGTAATGGACAGGGAGGCCTGGGGTGCTGCGGTTCATGGGGTTGCAAAGAGTTGGACACGACTGGGCAACTGAACTGAACTGAGACCTCCTTTGTGAAGGTCGGGTGTTGTGAGCCTGTCCTGGAATGATCTGGCCCTCCATCTGCTCAGCTGGAGAGGTGGGACCAGTGGGTGCGACAGGGCTAAGGACATATCCAGAAGTCTCCAAGGCTGGGGGTGGGATTTAGACAGCCCTTCTTAGGTGGCCAGGGCTCAGCATGGTTACCTTCATTCTCTGTTGTTCTTAGTGCTTATTCAAGAAGTGAGGCTCACATAAAATAACTAAAGAAACTGCATTTCAAAGCCTCCCACAAAAGTCTAGGGTGGGGGGGACAAAGGTCAGGTCACAAGGGACGGGGGAAGTGTGCAGCTTTGGCTGGCCCCACGGGAGCCCAGCACCCTCCTGGCGGCTCTGCAGCACCCTTGGCTCCATGGCACCCTTGGGTGGAGCCTTCCAGCCCTCTGCCTGTGATCCCGGAGGCCCAGGAGGCGGGCCCTGGGCTGTGGGCCCGCAGGGCCCCCCACTGAGTCAGCCCCTGGCTGGAGTGAGGACCAGGCCGCTACCTGGACCAGGTGTGCAGAAGGGAGGGAGCGTAGGTCTCCCGCCCACAAGCCTGAGTCCCGTGAGTGACAGTGTGACGTTGAGGCTTCTAGGGGCCCTGCGGGTCCTGCTCTGTAGCTCTAGACCTCCCCGGTGAGCCCAGGCGCCCGCCTGACCGGGGCTGAGGTGGGGAAGGACTCAGTGCCTGCCGACCGACCATGGCCCATTGGTTATTCCAGGCCAAGTCCTTGCGTGCTGCTGCGTCCGCCATGTGTCGCATGGCCCCCTTTCTATCTGTGCAGACTTCTGTTACGCATTTTTAATTTGGTGTGACTTGTACTCGATAACAATAACCTTCTTAGCTCTCGTGTCCCTCCTACCCCAGCAGTTGACCAAGCTCCACCAGCTGGCCATGCAGCAAACCCCCTTTCCTCCCCTCGGACAGACCAACCCCGCTTTCCCCGGTACGTACCCAGCCGCCCTTTCTGACCTCTCTTCTCACCCGGGGCCTTTCTCTCTCCGAGCGTCTGTGTTCAGGGCAGTGAGCGGAGCAGGTAGGGCTGTCTGAGTGCTGGGCACAGCGCTGGGCACGCTGCCGCGGGCGGGCAGGGGTCTGTCTGATGTCTCTGTGCGGGTCAGTCACCCCACAGCTGGCCTTCCTGAAGGAGACGCCTCCCCCTCGAGGGTTCATCCTGCTCTGCTGCCCGCTGGCCGTAGGGGAGGTCCTCCTGCAGGAGGCCATACACCCACCCACAGGGCGGTCTGCCCGGACAGCGCCCCCCTAGCACAGGGCGGCGCACCAGTCAGACTTTGAGCTTCCCTAGTTGAAGTGACCTTGCTTCTCTCCTTGAGGGCAAAACATTAAATCTGTTTCTTCTTTGCTCTCCAGGAGAAAAGCTGCCTTTACACTCCTCCGAAGAAGCTCAAAATCTGATGGGCCAGTCGTCAGGTAAAATAAAACCACGCTAAATGGAGAGCCAGCAAGCCAGGAAGGGACCTGGCGGGTGGAAGGAGCCAGAGGGCCACTCGCTGAGTGCCTCGGGGGAGGGCTGCCGCCGTCCGGGGCCGGCCCGAGCGGCCACTCCAGGTCTGCACACGCGGCTCCTGGCTTCCACCTATGGCTCTGCAGTCACGGTGATGGGTCAAGTGTCTGCCAATGTTCGGGGCACAGCTGCCTCGTCAGGTGGAAGGTCATTTATCCTCCCAGGGGCACAGCATGAGGGGCTGGAAGGAAGGGCCGACCAGGCTGTGAGTTTTCGTAGGAGAGAAGACCACTGTGGGGTGGATCTGCACTAAACTCCCCCTGACGTGGCAGGGCAGGTGTGGATCCCCAGATCCCGTCACCCAGGCTTGGAGCAGGGGGCGTGGCTCCTGACAGGCTGTTTGGGAGCAAAGCCACTGGAAGCATGTGCCCTGGACTTGGCAAGGGCCCTGTGACAGAGGCGCCTGCCATGCTCTGACCCACTCCCCATGCAGGCGTGGATCAGAGCAGAAGAGCGAGGGTCCGGCTTATGGGGAAGCCAGGGAGGGGCTCAGCCGCTGCCCCCACTGCTGTTCTGGACCTCAAGGCATCTGCCTGTCGTCTGTCCCTCAGGACCACAGGGGCCCGCTGAGACCACAGGGCTCAGGGGTCGTCGGAAAGCCCAGCTCTGATGCTCCGTGTGCTTGCTGTGGGTTTCTTCTCGGTGCAGCTTTTAATTAAGCTAATGGAGATTTTAGTGAGTGGAAACTAGAGGAAAACAGAATAATTTTGATTATGGAGCTGGATACCAACCTCTGCACAGTTCCATATCTGGATGATAACACATGTCCAGGGGCTCTGTGCAGCCGTCTGCCGTTTATAGTGAGATTTCAGTAACCGCCCAGCCCTGGTCTCTGGGAGACTGTCTGGGGGCCCCCAGGGCCTGGCCTTGCCAGGAAGAACGCTCCCTCACCGCACCCCGACCCCACCACAGCCCTCCCAGCATGACCTCAGAGACAGGGGACTTGTGTTAACACATCCCTGTGACGCCCTCCCTCTTCAGGGCCCCTGGGACCCTTGGAACTCAGGTGCACATACATCCCCATGCACACACACACACCCCCCACGTGCATGGACACACACGCCCCCCCTTGTACATATGCATACACGCCCCACAATGCACATGCACACACACACATATGCACACGGGCGCACACACTCCCCATGAATATGCACACACATACACACATCTATGCACATGGGCACACACATGCCCCCATGTACATGTGCACCAATGCCCTCATGCACATGCACACATATGCCCTCCCATGCACACACACACCCTCATGCACACACACACACCCATGTACACACACACATCCCCATGCACACACACACACCCCATGTACACACACACACACCCATGCACACACACACACCCATGCACACACACACACCCATGTACACACACACACACCCCATGCACACACACACACCCCATGTACACACACACACACACACCATGCACACACACACACCCATGCACACACACACACCCCATGTACACACACCCCCATGCACACACACACACCCATGCACACACACACACACATGCACACACACACCCCATGTACACACACCCCCCCATGCACACACACCCCCCCATGTACACACACACACACCCACGCACACACACATGCACACACACACCCACCATGCACACACACCCCCCATGTACACACACACCCATGCACACACACACACCCCATGTACACATGCACCCATGTACACACACACACACCCATGCATGCACACACACCCCATGTACACACACACACCCCATGCACACACACACACACCCATGCACACACACCCCCACGCACACACACCCCATGTACACACACACACACCCCCATGCACACACACACACCCCATGTACACACACACACCCATACACACACACACCCCCATGTACACACACACACACACACCCATGCACACACACACACCCATGCACACACACCCCCCATGCACACACACACCCCATGTACACACACATACCCCATGTACACACACACCCATGCACACACACACACCCCATGCACACACACACACCCATGCACACACACCCCATGTACACACACACCCCATGTACACACACACACACACCCATGCACACACACACACCCCATGCACACACACACACACCCATGCACACACACACACCCATGTACACACACACACACCCATGCACACACACACACCCCATGCACACACACACACCCATGCACACACACACCCATGCACAGAGGCACTCACACCCCCCATGCACATGCACACACACACGTGCCATGGCAGCGGGTCAAGAAGCTGGACGGGTTGTCCTCACTCTGAGGCCGTGTCACACGCTCCCCGGCATCTGGGACTTGTGCAGGAGAGGCAGTGCTTGCGACTCCTGAGAGGACGCTCACCCGTGGGATGGCTTTAGCACCTTTTCAACAAAGTCCCGTCATTTGGAAAACACAAACCAGGAGTCCTTGCATGATACTCAGGACCAAGGAAGTCTCTGAGGTGACGTTTTAAATGTCACTGTTGACTGAATGTGCGTACAGGTGGACGAGGGGCTGGTGATTGTATTGAAAATACCTTTACAAAAGGAGATAAAGGGCAGGAGCTCCAGGTTTAGCTGCATAAGAGAAACTGACAGACGGTTCGGGGTGAGTTGGTTTGTTTGGCACAGCTGAGTCCTGTGCTCCACAGGCCCCGGAACAGCCTGCGCCTCACCAGGCCCATGTGCTCGAGACACCGGTGGCCCCCGCGCATCTTGTTCCAGGGACGTGGTTGCCGTGGAGGAGGACTTGCGGGCAGGGACCGGGCAGTCCCCTTTGTCGGGACCCCCTGGGCATGTGGGGATCAGGCTGAGGGGCAGGGACCAGTGAGGGAGGAGCAGGGGGTGGGCAAAGGGCTCAGGTTCCGGAATGTTCCAGAGAGCGGCGCCTGCGATGCCTGGCTGCAGGGGTGAGAGGGGTGGGGCTGAGGCAGGACGGCGGGGTCGCAGCCACAGGCTTGAGCTTGAGCTGCCTCCCGACAGGGTGGAAGCGCCTGGCATGAAGGAGCACTCTGCCTGGTGATTGCCTCCCTCCCCTCAGGGCCCCTCAAGGCCCCCGTTTTGTGGTCGCTGTTTCTGAAGCAAGTGCGGGACTTGTCCTTGATCCTGAGAGGCTGGCTCTGACTTAGTGGGTCCTGAGCTGGGATTTGTAGAGTTGGAAGCTGCGATGTGTGAGGAGCTGGGCCTGGGTGCTCACCTTCGGCCCACACACCCTGTGGAAAGGCACGTCTTCCCTGGCCCGGCTCTCGGTCCAGCCTCCCTGCCCCAACACTAGAAGTGCTGTGGGGGGCTGGAGCCACGGGGCCTGCAAGGGAAGTGGGGGGCGGCTGGGGCAGTGGAGGTGGCTGTGCTGGCGAGTCTGGGGCGCCCAGGGCTGGTGTGACCATCCAGGTATAGCCACCAGGGTGTCTGAGCGACGTCTCAGTGGACTGTGCCACATGGCAGACAAGTGACGCAAGTTGCACCCAGAAGGAAAAGGGGAACCAACCCCTGCCAGGTTCCTTCTCCCTGTTTGAGAGATGCTGGGTCAGGAGAGGGGTGGCAGTTGGGACCCAGAGCTCACAGGCCCCAGCCCCCAGCTGCGCAGACCCTGCCCTGGGTGTTTCCCAGCCCTGCCTGCCTGTGACCGAGTGGGGAGCGGGGTCAGGTGCCCGCGCGGTGGGAGCAGCCTTCCCCCAGCTAACCCTGTCCTCTCGCTGTGCCCAGGTCTGGACGCCAGCCCCCCGGCCAGCACTCACGAGCTCACCATTCCCAATGATGTGAGTACGTCCAGCCTCACCCACCTGTGCCCATGTGCACCCCCCCATTAAGCAGCTGAATGCCCTTGGGGGTGGGTGACATCACCCCCAAGTTACCAGACAGGGAGGAGCCATGGGGGCTTCAGGGCGAACTCAGAATGAAGATGCCAGAGCTGCCCGGGGATCCTGGCTGCCCAGTGAAGGCCCTGCCCTGGTTCAGGATCACCCTGGGGACAGGTGGTCCAGGAGCACCCCGAAGGCCCTTAGAGGGCCTCCCACACTCCCCCCACACACTCCCCTGACATGCTTCCCTCACAGGGCCTCACACACTCCCTTCACACACGCCCCCATACACTCCCCATGCCCTCCACCACACAACCCCTGACATAATCCCTCACAGGGTCTCCCATACACTCCTCCCACGCCCTCTATCCACACTTCCCCCACACGCTCCCCTCACCCCCTCCCTTACACACTCCCTCACATGCTCTGTTACACCCTCCTTCACACATTCAGTTATCTCCCAACCATCCTCTGGAGCCTCGGGTCATCCTAAGAATGCCGACTCCAATCTCCAAACCAAGACACCAGGGTGGGTGTGGATCTGGTGTCCTTGGAGGGACAGCAGCCTGTGGGGCATGGCAATGGTTGGGGACATGCCTCTCCAGCTCCTGTGTCCACTCAAACATCTCTCCAGCCCGAGAGTGCAGCCTAGAGGGGCCAGCGTGGCCTCAGGCCCCCAGAGGACCCTGAGCCGGGTGAGGGGTCTCCATAACTGCAGGCTCTTCATTTGACGGGACTTCCTACAGTCGAGGCCTCGAGGCTCCCACCCTCCAGCAGGATTGGAGGTGTGCCTCTTGGGGGTACCAGGGGAGGGACCAAGGCAGCGGGACCCCCAGCTCCCCTTGTGTCTCAGCTACACTCAGGCCGCAGTGGATTCTCTCCAAGATGCTCCTGCATCCTTTCTTCCAGCTAATAGGCTGCATAATTGGACGCCAAGGGACCAAAATCAATGAAATTCGACAGATGTCTGGAGCGCAGATCAAAATCGCCAATGCCACGGAGGGGTCATCAGAGCGCCAGATCACCATCACGGGGACCCCAGCCAACATCAGCCTTGCCCAGTACCTCATCAACGCCAGGTGAGGGCCTGGGTGGGTCCTGGATTGGCCTGCCTCCCCGGGTTCTCTTCTGGGGGTGCTTGGGGAGTCTCCAGGTGACACAGGTCCACACGCACGCCTCTGTCCTCTCACACTAGACTTCCACCCTCCAGCCACGCCCACGTGGCCCCACACAAGTCGCTGGGTGTTGACACCCTGCATGGCACGCTGTGGGGAGCCCCACGTCCACGCCTCCCTGGCAGGGCGACTCCTGCACCCCTCACTGCAGTGGCGGCAGAAATGGCCATGGCGGCCTGGGCCTGTCGCATCCCCCTCACCCCAACCCCGTGTGGTGACTGGGATGCAAGCCCCAGGCTGGGAAAGAGGGATCAGGACTCAGGACACCTCACCAGTGAGAACACGGTGACCCGTGACCTGTGCCCTTGTCTCTTCCAGGCTGACGTCCGAGGTCACCGGGATGGGCGCTCTCTAACCCCACCGCGCCCCCACGCTCACCACCTGTGCAGACTGCCCCCCGCCCCCCGCAGATGTAGAGGTTTCTTTACCAACAGAAGCTATCTGTGCCTGCCCTAGACCTGTGCCCACAATGTTCCAAGTGTGTCGGGGGCCCCGGCTCCACCCTGACACTGCTCCAAGTTCATTTACGCCTGCTCCTCACACGTTGGCATGCCATGTCCATTATTTTAAAGGCTTTGTGGCCACTCCCATCTGTGACACTCTAGAAACGTCGTTCCGTAGTGTCCGTGTAACCTTTTTAAGACTTGGTTTGATGTGTGGACGTTGTCTCTGAGGCCCCAGAGCTGTGGCCGCAGGAAGCCACCCCTCCCCGGTCCCCTCGGCCTTGTCTCACATGGCCGCACAGGTCAGCACCAGGTGGGGTGCACATCTCCCTGTGTCCAAGAAGTGGAGGACACGGGGTTGTGACAGGGGAGGATGGAGCGGGCTGCTGGGCCCCAGGCATCTGTCTTTGGGGCTGACAGTGTGAACCAGCTGGGGAGGCACCTCTGCACTGGGTCCTAGTTCAATAAATGATGCGCGCTGCCCCTCATCTTGGACTCCTCTCTGTGACCCCCTGCCCCTCCCCCGCCTCCCGCCACCCTCAGACCCCACACATACCGAGGAGCGGCTCCACCTTCTCAGACAAAGTGAGGTTCCACCTGCTCCCACCTTCAGGGTTCGGCTTGTATGAGTCTTGCTCGTCTTACTCTGCCAAGCTGCTTGGATGCAGAGATGTAACCCCAAGTCCAGCATCTGCAAGTGAGGCCACCCCCTCCTCCCCTGGTCAGTGGCCCTGAGCTTCCCAGTGGGAGCCCATCCCTCTCCACTGCCCCCCCAGCTGTGCTCACCCGCAGAGCCCACCGCACACCTACGTGCTGAAGCCCGGGGGACCCAGGCCCGGGGCAGAGGGCTGCCTTGTTGTGTGACCCTGGGCCGCACAGGCACCGCCTCCTCGGGCCAGATCTGAGCTCACGGGTGCTGTGGCAGGTGGGGGTCTGGAGGTGAGGTGAGGCCAAGCCGCTGCTGCGGGCACCACCCCCCTGCATGACCGAGAGTCCAGGCAGCCCAGGGGGCTCTTCCTTGGTGCCCACCCCTCAGCAGCAGCCCCTCTGTGACTGCCCCGTGAGAAGGCTGCCCTGCTCCTCAGACTCTGGCCAGGCCTTCAGTGCTCAGGCCATACGGGCACCCTGCCCCACCCTCCCTGGAGTTCGCTGGTGGAGGCTGGCTGCACAGCATAGAGACGCCCGGCTATACTGCAAGCCCAGCCATCTAGGGCTACAGCTCACTCACCCACTGGACACATTGGCCAGGTGCAGGCCACAGTTCGGGGCCTGGAGGTGGCAGGGATGATGTGGGCACCAGCCTTCCTCTGGGGACCTCAGTCAGTGGTGGGTGGCCAGTGGACAGGGTGAGGAGTGCCTTAGAGAGCCAGAGCCCACCGTGGGGGGGCGGGGGGGATGTAGGAAGTGCTGTGTCAATGCTGGGGCTCGAGAAGCTGCAAGGCCAAGGGGGCGCTGAGGCGTGGCCCCCGCAGTGCACTCATCTGGTGGAGAACAGAAAATTGAGGGGCAGCCAGGGCAGCAGGAGCTGGTTCATGGGAGCAGGGGGCACAGGAAAGATGGGGTGGGGCTGGGCCAGGGCACTGGCTCTGGAGGAGGAACACACAGTCTTCCCCTCAGATCCCAAGTGTGCTGTGGGAAAAAGAGGGTCCGGGCTGCTTGCATGGAGGCCCTGCTCTGAGGCAACAGCAGTTTGCCCTCCATGTGGGGAGACTGCAGCTGAGGGTGGGGGAGACGGGAGCTTGGTTGGGGACATGCCGGGGTTGAGATACGCCAGCCCCACCGTCCAGGCAGGAGAGGGGTGGAAGCAGCAGGCCAGGTGCCATGGGAGGAGCCCTGAGGGGCATCACACAGGACACCCCCGGGCATCAGGAAGAGGGGTCTCACTTGTGCCACCCGGCCTGGGACCCAGTGTGAGGCCCAGATGAGATGCCGGTGGACCAGGCGTGTCGTGAACCCCGGCTGATGCCTGGCACCCAGAGGAGCAAGGCGGCCTGCAGAGCAGACTCACACCTCTGTGCTCACAAGTACAACTGCTGTGGAGGTTCCGGTACAAGTCTTTGTCGGAGGTAAATACCTGGGAGTGAAGTGACTGGGGCGTATGCTGTGTGTGTCTAAGGAACTGTCGAGCTGTTGTCTGAAGTGGTTGTACCGATGTTTGTTCTCTCCACATTGCATGAAAGTTCCAGTTGCTCCACATCCTCAGCAGTGTGAGGTGTGCTCAGGCTGCTTAATATTAGCCGTTCTATGGGGTGTGAAATGGCATCTCTTCCTGATTGTAGCATTTCCCTCATGACACAGTGTTGAGCATCTTTTCTGTGCTCAAATATTTATTCAAATCTTTTGCCTGTTTCTTACTATGACTTTCTTATTACTGAGTTCTAAGAGTTTTTCTTGTGTTCTGGATATGAGTCATTTATGAGAAACATCACATGCTTTGTAAATATTTTCCTCCATCCTATGGCTTGTCTTTTCATTTTGAAGAGCAAAATTTTTAATTTTGGTGAAGTCCAAGTTATTGATTTGTTTACGGGTTGTGCTTTTATTTATTTATTTTTCTTTCGGATTGTGCTTTTAATGTCATATCTAGTAATCTTTGGCTAAACCAAGGTCACAAAGATTTTCCTCATGTATTTTCTTCTAGAAGTTTTGTACTGTTATTTTCTCACTCAATTGCCTTTTCTTCTTTATCAAAAATTAGTTTTCCCTATATGTGCAACTTTATCTGGGGACTCTCCAGTCTGTTTGCTGATCAATTTGTCTATCTTTATTCCAAGACCATGCTGTTTTGATGACTGTAGCCTTATAATGTCTTAAAGTTGTTGTGGTCCTCCAACATTGTTCTTCTTTTCAAAGTTGTTTTGAGTATTTAAGTCCTTTATCAATTTCTATATGAATTTTAGAGTCAGCTGATAATTTTACACACACACACAAAAGTGTGTGCTCTGGTTTGATTAGGATGGAGTAGAATCTATTGCTTAATTTGAGGATAATTGACAGGTTAACAATATCAGGTCATTTGACCTGTGAACAAGGTATGTCTCTCCATCTGTTTATGACTTATATAATTTATTTCAAAATGTTTCATAGTTCTCAGTGTATGGGTTTATAAACTTTTGTCAGACTTACCCTGAAATATTTCATATTTTCCATACTGTTTTAAATATTTAACTTTAGTTTATAATTTTTATTGCTAGTAAATAGAAATATGGTGAATCTGTATGTGTGTGTATATATATATACACATATGTATGTATGTATATATAGTTTCTTAGAGTCTGTGCAAACAATAGAAAAGATCAATGAAGGTAAGAGCTTATTCTTTGAAAACATAAAGAAAATTGATAAACTTTTAGCCAAACTCATCAAGAAAAAAAGGAGGGTCCAGATCAATAAAATCAGAAATTAAAAAGGAGAAGTTTCAAGCAATACCACAAAAACACAGAAGATCATAGGATTAATACAATTATAAGTTCAGTTAAGTAGCTCAGTCATGTCCAACTCTTTGAGACCCCATGAACGCAGCACACCAAGCTTCCCTGTCCATCACCCACTCCCGGAGCTTGCTCCAGCTTGTGTCCATCCAGTCTGTGATGCCATCCAACTATCTCACCTTCTGTCATCCCCTTCACTCTGCATAGAAGTTAAATAAGTAGGGTGACACTCTACAGCCTTGATGTACTCCTTTCCCAATCTTGAACCAGTCCATTGTTCCATGTCCAGTTCTAACTGTTGCTTCTTGACCTGTATACAGATTTCTCAGGAGGCAGATAAGGTGGTCTGGTATTCCTATCTCTTGAAGAATTCTCCTCAGTTTATTGTGATCCACATGGTCAAAGGCTTTAGCGTAGTCAATGAAGCAGAAGGAGACGTTTTCTGGAATTCTCTTGCTTTTTGTATGATCCAATGGATATTGGAAATTTGATCTCTGGTTCCTCTGCCTTCTCTCAATCCAGTTTGTGCATCTGGAAGTTCTCGGTTCACACACTGTTGAAGCCTAGCTTGAAGGATTTTGAGCATTACTTTGCTAGAATATGAAATGAGTGCAATTGTACATTAGTCTGCACATTCTTTGGCATTGCCCTTCTTTGGGATTGGAATAAAAACTGACCTTTTACAGTACTGTGGCCACTGCTGAGTTTTCCAAATTTGCTGGCATATTGAGTGCAGCATTTTCACATCATCTTTTAGGATTTGAAATAGCTCCACTGGAATCTCATTACCTCCACTAGCTTTGTTGGTAGTGATGCTTCCTAAGGCCCACTTGACTTTGCACTCCAGGATGTCTGGCTTTAGGTGAGTGATCACGCCATCGTGGTTATCTGGGTCATGAAGCTCTTTTTTGTGTAGTTCTTCTGTGTATTCTTGGCACCTCCTCTTAATATCTTCTGCTTCTGTTAGGTCCCTACCATTCCTGTCCTTTATTGTGCCCATCTTTACATGAGATATTCCCTTGGTATCTCTAATTTTCTTGAAGAGATCTCTAATCTTTCCCATTCTATTGTTTTCCTCTATTTCTTAGCACTGATCACTGAGGAAGGTTTTCTTATCTCTCCTTGCTATTTTTTGGAACTCTGAATTCAGGTAGATAAAGGTTTCCTTTTCTCATTTGCCTTTAACTTCTCTTCTTTTCTCAGCTATTTGTAAGGCCTCCTCAGACAACCGTTTTGCCTCTTTGCATTTCTTTTTCTTGGGGATGATTTTGATCTCAGCCTCCTGTACAATGTTACAAACCTCCATCCATAGTTCTTCAAGCACTCCATCAGATCTAATCCCTTGAATCTATTTGTCACTTCCACTGTATAATATATAGGGATTTTATTTAGGTCATACTTGAATGGTTTAGTGGTTTTCCCCACTTTCTTCAATTTAAGTCTGAATTTGGCAATAAGGAGTTCATGATCTGAGCCACAGT